ACTGGGTGGCCGCCCAGCACTGTTGACAGCAGAGTATGAAGCCAACAACCAGGAGTTACATGTTGATGCTAGCACTGACAAATGATTCAGGCAAGTCATTTAACTTCCCTGTGTCTGCACGTTCCCATGTGTAAACTGTTCATAATAAAAACATTAACGTACATTTTCAGGGTACTTTGGAATGTTGGCTTAAATACTCCTTTGTCAGCAAATGATGTTATTACAGCAGCCAGAGACAGACAGCACTGTATCCTCTGAAGCCATGTCATCATTGTTTCAAAGTTTTTTTTTTCTTTCCATTGATTCATAGGTAAGCCCGTTGTATCACTAAAATCCTCACGTCCAGAGGCTGGTGCAAGTATTTCTGAGTAGTGTGAGGGGGTTACTGCAGCATTACACCACCAGCATCTTAAACATGAATACAGAAACCTTAATTTACAATCAATTTTGGGATGTTTCAGACTGTAAAGTTCTTTTAACTAGATCTCTGTTGAGGACAGAGGAGCACTTTATGGGACTGTAAATTTCATGCAAACAGTCTCTGTGAAATACAGATTCCCCCTACACACGAGCTGTTCTCTCAATATCAATCATATGCCTTGCAAGTAATGTTTCACAAATATTCTGTAAATCACAGGAAAATGCTTGCAATAATGTGAAATATGACTTTCACTTGACTGTTTCAGCAGAGGCCCCTAACAGGCCATTCTCCTGTCAGCACTAACATTTGTTATGGCTAATAACATTTTCAATCACAACTATTTTGGGAAAATGGATTTATTTTAAACCTGCTTCCCTGCAAAGGAGGTCCTGAAAACGCCCTGCCAAGGACACAGATGCCTTACAGAACACAGACCGTTAATTCCCAAATGAAATTCCATCTCATCCTAATCCTCAAGCACTGTTTCTCAGCCAGCTTTTTGGAGACTTGTTTGTTTTTAGGCATAGAGATACATGTTCACATCTCAGTGGTTGTTTTCAGTCTGGTTCAGGTAAGAGGAGTATAAAGTTACTTTTGAGAGCAGGTATCTTGGGGATATTTTGGAATTGATTTGAAATTTTTATCCAGATACCAGGAGAAAGGGCTTAAGCACTTTGTAAATGGGAAACTGGTAATCTTGATGATTTGTATTACATTGAAAGAAACTTCTTATTCTGAAACACAAAGATTTATGTTATTTGAACTCTTTTTCTCAATAAACCACACTTAAATAAAACATAAATGGTGCTTTTGTTAGGTAGGAAGCCCAAGAAGTGCATTAGACAAGGTGTGAATTCCTTTCTTGTCCTTAGGCATGTTGATACAGCTTGGTGGAGGACAAGGCACCTGTGTTAATGGCACTGTTTGTGACCTTATCCCTCAGAGTCTGGTGCTGAACTGTGAGGCTCCTTGAGACTGGTCAGTGTCCTCCAGCCAGAATCATGCACAGCTGTGGGATTGCCACACAAATGGAAACTCAGTCTCTGGTATTCCATCTCCCTTACTAAGAGCACCTTCACATTTGTCAAACTGCACTAAAGGGTATCATCCTGAGCCAAAAAGTGTGCCAAAGACACTTGGAAAAATGTAGATTTCTTTATTTAACACCTGTGTGAAGAAATAGAAGGAATTGCAGACAAGGGATGTTTCTGGAACTTCTGTCTTCTTGCTTATAGCTCTTATAATTTTAGCTTTTCTTAGATTGTTTAAAAATAAATAGGGAAAAAAGGGAGCAAATGTCTGGCATGCTGAAGGGTGCCAAAGCACTTTCCCAGTGCCAAGGCCAGGCACATGTTCCTGGGGTGGATGTCCACATGGCTGTCGCTCCAGCAGGTGAGTGAGGGCTGTGCTGCTGTGCTAACAGGCATTTACAGCCCCCTTGACCCTGTCACTCCCCATAAATCCATACCTATTTCTGCTCTCATTTCACTCTATTTATTCCCTGGCAGGTCAGATATGAGATGCAGTGTTCATATCATGAGGCTAGTGAGAAACAGGGCTGGGGTAATGGGTAACATCAAAATTACTTTATTAGCAGAGCAGAGAAAAGAACTGTGGTGAAACCACCTGCCCAGGAAAATAATCTCAAGTCTGTCACAGATTCATTGTGCAGCTTCAGACATACCAGGAACTCTCCTTTTGCTAGTTTTCCTGTCTATGAAATGAGTATAAGAGAAATGAGATTAAATGGTTACTAATTGCTTTCATATTATTTGACAGAAATTTAAAATGCAGTTCTAGTGATAATTCATTTGTACAGTCTTTCTTCACAGACCTTTTTACACTTCTTTCTCATTTTTCTCTAGGCAGAAGAGATCATGGCATCTGTCAAAGAGCAGGAAGACATTAGCCATCATGGTTTTCCTGCAGAAATGGGATAGTGCCCACAAAGTTGCTCAAACAACTGTTGCATCCTCAACAGCTTCGTTAAAACAAGGCAGGACCAGAGCTGCAGCTGGAGTTCCCAGAGAGCCAGATTGTTTCTGGCCCACCTAACAGTGTGGCTCAGGATGCTGCATCTGTTTCCTTGGACAGCTGGAGGTGTGTGTGGTAGTGAGATGCAGAGGATGGGCAAGGTCTCTACTGAAAAGTTGTTTAAAGAATAAGCTTTTACAGAGACAGAGACATCCACATCCAGCCACATTCTGCAGGCTTAAAAAACACCCTGGTTATCAAAAGATGGAACTGAAGAGAAAGCCATGTAACCCATCTCTCAGGGACCTAGAATCAGTGTTTTTCTCACATTTGGATGAGTGTGCTGCCTCTGCCTGCCTGCAAGAGGATACTCCATGCTTTTGTGCAGAGACAGTATCCAGTTCAGACCTCTACCCACTGACTGCAGTGAGATGGGAGGTGATGGCTCCCAGGACATGGCATGCTGGCAGAGGAAGATGGGCTCCAAGGCAAGTGACATTTCTGGCCTTGTTCCCCTTATTCTTGCAGCCTTGCAGCCACACATACCTTACTGAATTTCTGGAGATCAGAGGTGTCTTGATTCCTCTGGAAATACTGAGGCTGAACCACCTGAAAGAAGAGGACAAAAGAGGGTTTATAAAGCTGCTGTTGCTCACTGGAGACACTGGCCGGGAGTATGAGGAGCTCATTTGTGAAAGCTGTGGCACACAGCATGTCCATTTGTGCTTTGTCCTCATCCAGGCAAGGATATTCTCCCTGACCTCTGGCCCTTGGGGCTGCTTGCTGCACTGAGCCATTCCCTTCCCTCTGCCTGCTGATGGCATCTCTTTCTCAGCACAAGGGTGCAAGCCCAGACCAAGTTCTTAAATGCCTCCAACACAGCAGAAGGTCAAAAAGATGCACAGGTTCTGCTGGACTCTTTGGGCCACAGCAACACCAAGTACCAGAGCCAAGATTCGCAAGGGCTCGGAGCTGTACTGTTGTGTACCGCCCCCCAAGCCCAGCACGGGGCTCAGGCAGGTGAGGAGTGGGCCTTGCTGGGGGCTACGGGCAGTGTTACCACCTGCGTCCATCCCTGCTCAGGCAGGAGCTGTGCCTGTCTCCTTGGCATTCTGGCTGCACTGGGTAGCCCTACTGCCTGGAAGAGAACAGTCTGGAGAACTGTGTGAAGACTGTCCCAGTCACTCCGCCCTTTCCCCCCCAGGATAGGATGGGAGATGTGCCCGGTCTGTTCATGGAGCCCGTGCTGGGCGTGCTCCCGGAGCTCCAGTACAAAGGTAAGAGCTGCCTACCCACCCTGGGCGCTGTGGGGTAGCCTGACAAGCGTGCTGGGGGCAAAGGGCGGGCACGGGCGGTCCCCGTCGTGCGTCCCCGGGGCCCCGATCCAGCCTGGCTGCGACCGACACGGGGCTGGGCGGGGCGGGGCGCCTTATTACTATTCGGGATAATTTGCATACCCAGGGTGCACTGCGCGGGGGTGCCGCACACACGGTACCGTTCGGGCCGCCGCTCCCCGGTACCGCTGCTCCGGTGCCAGGCTGAGCTCTGAGCGCTGCCGGGAGAACGGGACGAGGCAGCAGAGGGTCGAATCTGGGAGCAATCGGTGTCGCTGTATCTTAGGAGGGACAGTCGGGAATGGGTACCTGCCGAGGGCGGCACTACGGGCATACTCTGGTTTCTCTTCAGATCGTATAAATCTTTCGCCTTTTACTAAAGATTTCCGTGGAGAGGAACAGGCACGAGTGTCGAGAAATTTTTTGAGGCTCCATTTCGGTGGAGCTACCCCTATTCTGGTTAAAGATAGAGCAAACTACAGTTGTTTATAAGGTTGCGGGGTTCCGGGCCTGACGCGTAAACTGCTCTGGTCCCTCTCTCGGCAGCACGGACCCTCCATCCGCACCGCCCCTACCCCCGCCCGGTTGGCCGCCTCACTGCCCGTGTCGGGTCAGAAGATGGCCGTGACGGAGCGGGGATCGGGAACCCCTCCTCCTGGCCCGGGCGGTGCAGCGGAGCAGCTGCGTGTCCGCGGTTCGGCCTCCGAGAGAAGCGAGAGCCGGGCACCTGCCCGGCAGTCCCGGGCACTCCACCCCTCCCAGAAGAACAAGGGTGGTGTTGGCGCCCGCTCGGAGCTCAGCACCTTGCGTGGGACCCCTACCGCAAGCTCCCCACTCTGTCTAGCTCTGATCCGTAGCGGCGGCGTATGGTGGCCTTTCCCGGAGCCGACTTTTTGCGTCTGCGCGGCTTCTCCTTGCCGTGGCGACGATGCGGCCAGACCCGAGCGCCGCGGGGTCCTTATCCGCTCCCGGCTCGCTTTGTCCCCAGCTGCCCCTCTTCGCTACCCCCCGCCCCGGCAGCAGGGCAGGGAGCACCGGGCTTGGTGTGATCAGCATCCCCGGGCTGCAGGGCGGGCGGCACCGGGCCGGCCCCGCCGAGCGCCGCCGCTCCGGGCTCGGGCCAGCCGGGCTGTGGTACCGGCCGGGGGCTGGTGCCCAGCTGGGTGAGGCTCCGGAAGGAGAGGGAAGTAGGGAAAGGAACTCAGTGAAGGTCGCCGTGTCTTGTGGGGCGGCAGCGGGGAGTGGGCATATGTGCGGGGTGCAGCATGGCTGTTCTCCGGTTTCTCTTCAGATCGTATAAATCTTTCCCCTTTTACTAAAGATTTCAGTGGAGAGAAACGCGTACGAGTCTTACGAAAATTTTTGTGGGTCCATTACAGTGGAGCTAACCATTTACGGTTAAAGAAAGAGGAAATGCTGAGCGTTCATTGGGGTGGGTTGTTGGTAACTAATTGCGGCAATGGGGAATATCAGCAGTCCCTAGCGGTTCGGACCGTGGGGATAATGACGTGCTGCGGCAAAGATGTCAGCAACACCGACCCGCCCCGCCCCTCCGCGCCGCCGGCTCCTCCCGCTCCTTCCGGCCGGCCCGTTCCGGGGCTGATTTGCATGCCCAGCGTGCTCCGCGGCCCCGCCGCTCTCCGGGGCTGCGGCCGCTGTCCCCCCCCGGGCTCTGGGGGCCGCCCGGCGTGTGCGGCCCGCGGGGCCTGGCCGGGCAGGGATGCAGGGCCGGGACCCCCGGGCGGGCTGGCCTCGCCCTCACCTATGGGGGGTGCAGCAGACGGGGCCAATGTCGGAGATGGGGGTACGGGTATACTCTGGTTTCTCTTCAGATCGTATAAATCTTTCGCCTTTTACTAAAGATTTCCGTGGAGAGGAACAGGCACGAGTGTCGAGAAATTTTTTGAGGCTCCATTTCGGTGGAGCTACATTTATTTCGGTTAATAATAGAATTAATAATTATATAATTGAGCTGTGACCGCCCGGATTGGCTAGCGGGGCTGATGCTCCGGGTCCATCATCCCTGGACTGGCAAGAGAGGTGCAGGGGCTGTCCTCTGCGGCGAGGGGTGCAGCAGCAAGGGCTGCTCCGGTTCAGGATGGGGTTGCTTGCAGCACTAATGCCACCCTGCAGGCCTCCAGAGATGTGCTGAGGGCTGCTGCTGAGGATGGTGAACAGTTCCAGCTCAGCAGTGCAGGCCACAGTAGCCCAGACTGCCTGAGCTGCAGCCTGTGCATTGATCATTATATGTAGCCACAGTGTTTCCTGAAAAATTACATGTGCTCCATCCTCCTTTCATGCCAGCAGAGTAACTCCACCTCTAACATCTTAGACGTGTTTCAAAGCATCATTCTCTCCTTCCTAATGGTCCACATACACACACAGCCACACTGGCTGAGAGAGTATGTTTAACAGGCAGCTGCCACAAAAGTCATTGGGTGGGATACTGGAGCAGAATCCACAGGACCATAAAAAGAACCTTAGAGAAATGGCATCCCAAGAACTGGGATATGTTCCTCCCAGGAAAGATTCACCCATTCACCTCTGGCACTCCTCCCTGCTGAGTGTCCCACCTCTGTCAAGACTCCAGCCCTAAGCTGATTGGAAACGGGTGTTTGGGAATGAGACAGAGTAGTTGCCTGCAGGTAGAAGTGCTCATACCCTCCCTGCTCCTGCCACTGGAACTGGCTTGAAATTTTCTTTACAAGGAGATGTGAAATCTGACTGGCCTTGTGTATTGTCACCCTTGGTGGCTGGGCCTGGAAGCAAGGTATGTCCTGCACAGGGCTGAAGGGTGCTGCATTGCTCATGGCCACTGGATCCTCCACACAGCTGGGAGCCACAGCCAGCAGTGCAACACCCTTTTATAACATCAGCCACCCACTGGAAAACCTAGTGCCTATCATTGACTGCATAGTCCTCCATGAAATTCAGCTATTTGCACTAAAATTGCTTTATTCAGTGTGAAGTTCCTGCAGTGTCCACAAGATAGTGCTGTTAGAACACCTTTTCTGCAAAAGCAAATGGCAGAAAATGCTTGGCAGGCAGGGAGGCAAACCTGAGGAGTTTTCCAGTGACATCCTCTCAGAAGTAAGGGTGGTGATATTTGAGTCCTGGGGTTTTTATGGTGACAGAAGAAGCTTGCCAGACTTTAATGTATACCAGGAAGTTCCCACTGATCATTAAGCAGTTGGTTCTCAGCAAGCCCCAGTTTTAAATGATTGTCAAACCATGCACAGCTGAACATTTCTTGTTTATTTTGGGACTGGTGTCTGTTGGTGCTACTAGGGCAGGACAGGAACACAGCATTTTCCATTGGGATTGCACCAAGAGGCACAGACTCAGGCCCTTGGGTGGCTCTTCCCCCATCCAGGGTAGGAGCTGCTGGCCTGCAGATCAGGTCTCTAACTCCAAAGGCAGATACAGGGAAAATAAACAATGTTAGGGCACAGAGGGAAGGAAGTGGGCAACACCTGTTCCTTGCACAGGGAAAGGCTGGGTAATCCAAGAGTACTAACACCTGAAGTGGAACAGGATTGTCTTGCTTTAGTATGGCATAACAGCCCTTCTGCTCTGGCTGTGCCATCTTAGTATGATGCAGGCAGAACCTAGGTCCAAGTCACCTTTCACAGTTCAGAAACCCTCAGAGCACTCAGCCCCACTCTGCTCCCAGAACCTAAACTATTGAGCACAAAATGCCCAAGCAGTGGAGGAGGATCATACCTGGGTCGAAGCATCCCTTCTTTAAGTCCTTGTGACTAATGTTTGCTCACATCCTTCAAAAATCCATAACTCTTCTGCTATCTTTTCCAAGCCAGCCCTGAAACACTGCCCACAATTGATCCAGTCCAGGCTGAATCCAGGTCTCCAATATAGCTGGCATCTCCAGACACACAGCAAGGATGCAGTCCACAGATGGCAGGTGCAGAGCTGGGGGTGGCCTTGTCACTTAAATTACATCCTTGACTTTCAGAGGGAGAAGGTAGCTCCAAGAAAAGAGGGAGTAATGGTAGAAGAGTTCCTTTGTGATCTGATGTTTGCACAGCTGCATCCTGTGTGGCTGAACCTAGAGCTCACACAACTGTTTTGTGCTTTTGAAGATAAATGCTGAACTGAGCTGAATAAGTAGAAGAGCAGGCACTAGCACATGCCCTACAACTGTTCCTCCCCTAACCTGCTCTTTCCCAGAGAAAAGGTCTGCAGGGCAGTTTGGACCCAGGCTGCACACAAGGGCCATGGCAGCAGACAGCTACCCCTAAGCCACCTTCCCCCCTGCTAGGGGGTCCCAGCAGCATCTCAAAATTAAGAGACAAAATGTATTTTGAGTGATTTTTATGTAAACATTACAAGTATAAAGACTTTGAAAAGAAACTTCATCCAAGAAATCAGCCTCCCTACCAACAACCAGCCAGTCTTTAGGAGCTGTTAAACTTTACCATAATTAGCAAGAAATATTTTTTATAGGACAGATAAGATAGTGAAATCCAAGAACATTTATTTATTCAACTTCTTAAAATACTGGTTTTTACAATCATATAGTCAATTTTCTTTCCTTCTGGAAAAGCAAAACTTGTAACAGTTTTGCAATGTTTCAAGCACATCTGGAAAAGGTAATGTACTATACATGTGTAGGTCTGTCAGGGGAGACCACTGTCACCAGCAAAGGGCTAGCTATCTCTGCAGGCAGAGACTGCAGACTCTCAGGCCCCCTACCCAAGCCTTGCAGTGGGTGCATTTTAGCACTTGGCTGAGTACCCTGATACAGGCCATGAAGAAAAAGGCTGCTGTGTTCACTGCCCTTGGGCACGTGACCTGCAGACACCCTACCACATTAAAACAGGAGTGATACAAACCACTGACAAACATGCAAGACAAGACAAGTGCATGAAAGATTGCTTGTGAACCAGGTTTTGCTGTAATGATTAAGGCCTCTTCCAGCTAATCTGCTTGCTGGCTTGCTCCTCCAGTTGCATGGCAGTCCCCAGGGCATCCAGTGTTTCTGTAACAAAAGGGAAGAGTAACAGGGTGACTGATCAGGAAGCTGAACTCTCCAGAACAGCTGTCAGTCTCAGCAGACCTCAGCTATGCAGGGCTGGGTGCTCAAACCCCCACAGCTATGCTGGTGTTACTTTCAGGTCTTTGGAAAAGCATTAGTGAGAGTGCTAGTCAGATACAGGCTCTAACATACCTCTGACACTAAGGAAATTTCTTGAGCTGTCCTCTATGAAGTAATTAGCTCTGCTCACAAAGGTCTCAAGATCATAATCTGGTTTCTCTGTGATTTCCAAGAGGCAGTCAAGTTCAGTAGTCATTTTCTGTATTTACAAGGATAACAGGGATGAGAAATGGAATTTCTAGAAATTCAATTAGTTTCTTCAAATCTGGCAGTCTAATCAACATAGCTGAACTTCTGCAGACCAGGAGCCATCAGTGCTCATTAGCAGCAAGTAGAGGTTGCTATTTGGAGGGGAAAGGGAATTGGCAAAAGCACTGAAATGCCCCAGTTTAACCAGCTAGGCCAGAAAATACAGGAAAAAGTTGGCAATGAGGAAGAAGTAACACCAGTAGTACAGCATCTTGCATTGGTACCTCCCCAGCAGCACTTGGCCCAGACAAAGCAAGCTGCTATCAACATACAGAAAGTGGCCTGGGCTGGGTGTGCTGCTGCCCCATACCTGTCTCAGTTCTCTGAGCTGTTCTACAACCTTTTCCTCCCGTTCACTGATTTGAGTCATAACCTCTCGATAGTTGAACATGTGTGGAGAGAACTCTTCCTCCTCATCCTTGCAGAACTGTAAGAAACAGCCCAGGTAAGAACAGCAGGTTGTTCCCAGCTTTGAGTTCTGGTTAGCCCACTGCCCACACATACATTGAGTTGAAGATCTGAGCCTTCAGTACTGGTCTCAGCCTCCTCAGTCTCCATCTGACTCTGGGTTTCACTGCCTCCATCATGAGGGCTGAGCTCTTTCACTCTGCAACAAGAAGATTTGTCACTCAAATCCATCTTTCATCAGTTCCTTGGCTACAGCATCACAAATCAGCTGCTGCAATCAATCAATCAGTACTCAGCAAGAAGCATTCAGTTGCACTTTAAGAGTCACACAGTTACCATCCCCAGAACAGGCTTATATGGGCAGAAACTCCTGAATACCGTGGGAAGGAAAGCCAGGAGATGTTTGTGTTAAGGAAACTTTTCTGTCTGGCATCCATGAGCCACTCTGGCAGTTACACAGGCATCAGTTGAGCTGGGACCAAAATCCCTTCACGGCAGGTGGTACATACCCCTTGTATGTGTGTGACTGTGCCACAGCAAATATACTATGAAGGTTACAGTCTTAGATTCTTAAGTATGTTAAGTACTTGTAAGTAAGTTAGGCCTGTGAGTG